TTCACTTGCCTTTCTAGACACAAGGACCCTTCTTCCATACCCATAGCAAAATTATGCACAACCACTAAGTCCTTTCCCTCTCAGCTTTGCTTTCCTAGAACACAATCCAAGACAACATGTGGCTCCACACCACAAAGAGATAAAACAGATCTTTCATCATTGAAGGGGAGCAGAGATGTATATTTCTAAAGCCTGGCTCAGATCCCTGGCTGAAGTCAACAAATGACTTAAATCACTTGAGGATCCAGCTACTTCAGTGAGATTACTGAGTGACTTCAGTGCACTAAAAATCTGCGCTACACTCCAGGGCTGAGCGAGCCAGCTGGGCTCCATAGCTTGCACAGGCTGCACCATCTCTATCGAGTTCTGTCTGTCCTACCTCTTTCCCCCTTCCCTTCTCTCTCTTCAGAGGCCAGCTCCTGCACTCCTGCTGCTCCTCTGGCTTCTGTTTGGTTGCACCGCTGGTACACGCTTTGAAGTCAGGGTGGGAGGAATATACTCACATTCAAAATCTCCCCTCTCCCCATTTCACAGCATGGAAGCTAATTCTTTCTGAAGGAACATCCCCTCTTTGCTGACCCCTAGTACAGCTACTTTAGTTATTCTGGCCTTACACCTTCTCCAAGGCATTGGCTTGCTTTCTCCCTGAGTCTCCATTCCCAGGTTAAATAAGTAAACAATCAGCCTTGATCAAACAAAAGCTGACATTTGGTGACTTCCCCAAATGACTGAGGAGCTGAGACAAAGACAGCTTCTTGCACTACTTAACAAGAAGTCAGGCTGTTAGAATCAGCTTTGCAGAGGATTGCAGTGCAAAGCTTACTCTTTTTTGGCTAGGGAGGAGTAAGAGTACCTGTATATAGAAATAGCTTCAATAATGTCTAACACTTGAAAGGCGAAAAGAACCTGACCATATCAACTCAGTGCAGTAGTCCCCCCCCTGCCCTAACAAACATCAATAAAATTCTGACAGGGATTCCCCAAGCAGTTTCGTGAAGGGGGAAGGAGGAGAAAAGCTCATACATCTTGGATCATTTAGTGACTTTAAAGCAGTCTATTTCCTTATCAGTCATCACCTCTGCCAATTTATCAGGCTTGAAACCTACCTACCATGCACTGCTATTTAAAAGCACAGTATTTTGTAACAGGAAGAACAGAAATCAGCCAAAACCTGTAATAGGTGAAAACTGATAAAAACCACTTGACCTTATCAGCTGGCACAGGACCAGGAAAATGATTATGCTATTGGGCAACTGTCACAGATGAACAAGTTTTCAGAAGTAATTTGGGATTAGCCTTTAGATGCCTGAATCAGAAAGTCAAAAAAGACAATTTGAAAACTGCTTTTAAGAAGATGTATATGAAAAGCCAAAGATGGATGTTAAGAGATGGAGAAATGCCAGATTTCCAATCATAATAAAGAAAACAAAAGACCACCACCCATAAGTGAGAGCACATTCTATATTCCTCTAGTGTTGCACTGGAGGAAGTTGTTCAGAAAATTAAAAATTAATTTCTGTATGGAACTAATTTAGTATCAAATATGGAAAAAGAATTTATAGCTGCCTATAGCTTTACAATATTATGTAGCTACATTAATTTTGGCAGAAGAGGTAATTTTAATCCTTTGGGAAGTATTATCCTCTTGATATGAGCACATAACTCAGATTAATAGGATTTGCATATGTATAATAATAGAGAGAATAACCCTGGGTTTGGAAAACAAGGGGGTATTTTAATCAGTTTGGGAACACCAGACAAAAAACCATACCAGGCACAACTAATCAAACAGCATTTGTCAACTCATGCTAGGTAATAATTGTGAGTTAACTGATCAATATTTAGAAGCAAACATAATAAACTGGTATGTTTTGGAAAATCAAACAAAGCAGAGCTGTTAATATAATCAAGACAAGGGGAGATAGAAGCTGCACTGTTAATCACTTGCAAATTGTGTTTTTTAAAGACCCAGACCAAATACATGCTACAACCAAACTGTATAATTGACTCTGTGTTTGCAATCTCAGTTGTTCAACAATACAGATAACAGCAGTAATGGTATAATTATAACTCACAGCTGAAGTAGATAAAAACCTGATAGTTCTTAACTAAAGGTTGCAATTAAGGGTGGAGAAGAGCAGTATTCACTGTATCTGGTTATGGTTCTTTAATAAAAGTGTATTTGTAGTTCCAATACTGCAAAGCAGATCTTGCATGCTGCAGCCAAACTTTGACCATGTCCTGACAGAAGACAATGACTGGGAATGCAGCTTGACTCGTAACAGCTGTAGGAAAAATAGCTCTGTAAGCAGTGGTTGAGCAACAAATGCAGATATAGAATGCACTAAATGGAAAGCAAGCAATAAGCACACAAGGAAGAGGTTCCTTCTTGAGCCCCGAGCATCACTTTAGCTGCATCGCTTTAGCTTCAACTGCATCCGTGGGTTGAAGAAACAGCTTTACTTCCTTCCTACCACCTTCCCCCTGCACAGGCAAAGAGATACACACACCCCTGTGCACACACAGGCCCTGCCAGCCCGCGGACAGACAGGGAGAACAAGGCAAGGCGGGACAGGCGCCCTCCAGCAGCTTCAGCACCGGGGGCGGCGGACAGCGCCCTGGGCTCCCGGGCAGGAGGTCGGGCCCCTCCGCCCGCAGGGCACTGGGACACCAAGGGCGACCCGGCACCTCTGTGGCACGGCGGCAGAGACACCAGCAACGGGACTGCACATGGAAACCCGGCTGGCCTAGAAACTGCGCGTTCTCGCCCCCGTCCCCACACACAGAGCCAAAAAAATGACGGCAAGAACACTGCACCTCACAAACAGTAAGTGGCAAAAGGAAAGCCTGAGCTGCGCGACATTATCAAGTATGAGCAAAAGTGGCCAAGCACATTTTCTAGTGGCTTTTCCCTCAGACTACAGAGTTCTCATACCCAGGCAGCTTGGTTTGTGCTTTCTGAGCAAACAGAAGAGTAAACCCAACAGCTCAGAAATGAAGTGGGTATCAGCGGCATGTTTCACTTGCTTTTTGGCTCACTCACTCAATACTGGTTGCTAAGCAATTTTATTTTTTTTACTACTCACTGCCAGATGGATTAATGAAAACACACACTTGCACTACTTACAACATTTTTCATTTATATTTCTTGGTACACCAGTACTGTTTCTTTTAATTATTTCTTTTTTAAGGAATTCCATTCCCAGGTTTGCAAGACCCAAATTATAGAGAGCCAGGGGGAGGGGAAGAACAGAAAGAAACTAAGTGTAATTACCAAATTCTTTGGTGGATTGCAGGAAAGAGGTACCTTGAGACTTGCACATCCTCTGGGACTTGTAGCAAAGACAGCACGTCTAGCTCAGCATAGAGATGTGAGGCACCAGGTGACCTGAAGGTGCCTTGCTCTTAGCTGGTTTATCTATTTATAACTACATGTCATAACATTACCTGAGAGAACACAAGTCAGCACAGTGTCATTTCAGCAGTCAAATAACCATACACAGCCTTTTTTTATTTACACCTTACACACAGCGATGCTCTTTCTGTTTTGACTTCCAGTTCTTTATAGAGCTTAAACCTGCCACTTGGCATGGTCTTCCAGCCTGTGTCCTTGAATGCCACCCAACTTACCCATGGTTTGGCAATTTTTGAGAAGTTGTGATCAGAGAGAAATAATGACACGCCATACAATGTAACCAACCGTTCTGCCAGTGGTAAAACCAAACTGCGCATCAGCCATTACCAAGGGTGTAATTGCAGCAGGGAAAACAGGAGGGGGGAGGGGAAGCTGTTCCATCCCCAAATGGAGAAGAAAATGCATCTCTGCCATCTCCCAACTTTCTGCCAGCTGAAAAGGGGGAGGAGGGATGGGAGAGACTGCAGCAGGGCAAGCAACAACTCCAAGGCAGCTCTTTTCCCTTTACAGCTGGCAGTGAGCTCACAGGCTCAGCATCAAAGAATGTTACACAGTTGGGTCATTTTGTGTGCTACTGCTGGGACATGAGGGAGGCTGCATCTCTGCGGGCTACAGATCCTCCCTCATGCTGTCCTCCTTCCCAAATACAGGAAATCTGGTTTGGTGCAGAGAACCAGCAGAAAGAACTTTCTTTTCTTTTGTTTTTGAGAGCAATTAACCTCTGGTGTAGTTAGTTTGCTGTTGATAGAGCTCATAAGGAAAGGTCAAGTAAGGAGGGAAAACCACAGGCCTAGTAGGAAAGAAACAGGATAGTTTCATCATGTGCAGGATGAACTGAAGGGGACAGCTTCAATCTCAAGGGAGTCATGAGGAAGAGGTGGCAAAGAGGAAGGCACAGTAGTGGAGAAAGGGGAAGGAAAGGTCAGGTAGAGAACTGCAGGAGGTTCATCCCAGTAACAGGCAGGAGGAGGTGAAATGCAGGGAGCTGGAGGTATGTTGATAGAAACCATCAGGCTGTAAACCCATCAAGAGTCCCAAAAGGCAGTGCTGAGACAACTGGGAACCTCATGAAACTAAGTGGACAACGCAGGTGCAAGTTTCCTTGCACTTCTGAGGCACAAACCCATCAGGGGAAGAAGGCAAAGAGCGAGCCAGGGAGAGACTTGCAAAACACCAAGGGCAGCATTTCCAGGAGGGATGCCAGCACCTGGCGAGGAGGGACAGTGCAGAAGCCTTGAGGCGATGCGCCACGACGCTGTGCAGGGCGAGAGGGCGGCGCTCTGGGAGCGGGGAAGCTTCGAGGGGCTGCACCGAGCAGGGCAGCCGGTCCCGGCTCGCCCAGGTGAGAGGCGCGGGGCAGGGGGAGCCGGTCTGCGGGCCAGGGCCAGGGCCAGGGCAGGCCGGCGAGGTGCGAAGCGCGGGCACCGGGGCAGGGCCGGGCGGCGGCGCCCGGGGAGCCCGCGGGCGCAGGCAGGGGCGGAGGGCGGGGGCGGCCCCTTCCCTCCCTGCCTCCCCCGGTCGCGCCGGGCCGGGCCGCCTCTCACCTGTGTCGAGGTTTAAGGAGATGCGGGCCTCGGCGAGGTAGGGGGTGTCGCTCTTGGAGCGGACGCGGCGGATGGGTCTGCGGTCGATGTCCTCCTCGGAAGATGCCGCCATTAATGTGGGCACGGTGAGCAGCGTGGCCCGGCGAGCTGGCGAGGGCGAGCGGCGGCGCGGGGCGGCCGGGCGAGGAGGGGGCGGAGGGGGAGAGAGGGGAAGGGAGGAGGGAGAGAGGCGCGGGAGGGGGAGGGGAGGACGGGGAAGGAGAGAGGGAAAGGGAGAAAGGAGCGCAGGGAGGGAGGGGGAGAGACAGGGAAAACCCGTCAAGGATCTGCGGACGGGAGCGGCCGCGGCGGCCCTGCCCGCTGCCCCTGCCGAGTCCCGCCCGCCTCCGCTGCGGGGGACGGAGCGGTGTCCCCGGGCCCGGCGCTGCCGGCCCCGCCAGGGCAGGGTCCGGCCGAGCGCCTTTCCCGCCCCCAGGGGAGGTCCCGCTGAGGTGCCGATGGGCCTGGCCGGCAGAGGTGCCGCCCGCAGCAAGCCCGGCGCCCCGAATGCTCCCTCCTAGCCCAGGGCGTCCGGAACTCACAGCACAGCTGCAGCGGCACTTGGCGGGATGTCTAAGGGTGCATGCCTTCACCTCCTTGCCCTCGTTCCTTGGGCAAACCCATTGCGTGAAGCGGGACGGTGTGCCACACCTTGACAGTTTAAAATGCCAGGGGGACTGCGGAGCCTGCACTCAACGTTTGAAACTGACCATCGCTCAAAGCCCGGGCTCGCCTCCCTGAGTCGCTTCGGCAGGTCTTTGAGAAAAATGTGACCATCTGCAAAAAGCGGAGACTTCGTCCTCCGGCTGCAGACTGGGCTTGGTGTTTTGTGGAGTCTCTGTTTCTCTGTTTAGTAATCAGCTCTTTGTGTGGACATCCTTACCCTGTGGTTTATAGGCTGCCTGCCACATTAGGGCTCCAATTTTGGTTGGTTAGTGTAATAGAGATAATTAAAAATGCTATTTTAATAAAAAAATGTGTAGCAAAAAAGTACTACTGTACTAAAAGTAAAGTAAGAGTTAGACAGTTGAAATATGTGCCTAAGAGTGTACTAGCTTATGTCATTTAATTCAGGGCTTTTTAGAAAAAATACCAAAACCCACTCTGCTTAAAGTCACTAAGCTGTCAGAGCTTCCGAAATCTTTTGTGTTGGTCAACTTCAATGAAAAAAAAAAAAAATACCAGGGAAAGAATGTTGCATCTCACTAACTCTGAAGGCAGTGATAATAACATTAGTTGGTCTGAATTTTGAAGGACAGCTCTCTTATTCATTCCTGCAGAGTCAAGGACTTTCTGTTACATATTTGCCAATTAGCCCTATTCAGGTTTTGGGTTGTGCTGCATCTTTTTCAATGGTTGTAACATTGGGTTTAGCTCAAGTCTGCTGTTAGCTGTAATCCCTTCATAAATGTTCTCAAAAACTTTCATGTTTCTGGATGCCTGGAATAGATAAGATATATTTTGTTTGCAAATCAGTTCTCTTTTGGTGTGATCTCACTAGCTCACCCTGGCTAAAGCAGAAAAAAAAGTTTTAGTTAGCACTTGCAGGAGAATTTTGAAAACGATCCCTGTTCATACATATGCAGGTGCTTGTAGTTAGACAGCCTTGGCATCTTTGGACGTCTGGTGAACCACCACATCGCTTGTGAACCAGGAGGTACCATCTGGTCCATCTGCATCTCAAAAAGAGGTCTTTAATTACCTTCATACGCTGTTTGGGGAAGGTGTGGTCTTACCATTATCAAGGTTGAAGCAGATCCGAGCTTCTTCCAAGTAAGGGGTGTCACTCTTAGACCGGAGCCTTCTGATGGGTCTCCGGTCTATGTCATCCTCAGAAGTTGCTGTCACCAGAGTGGGCACAGTGAGAAGAGTTGCCCGACGAGCTGGTAAGAAGAAATAAATGAAGATGAGAATAGGAGGAGAACAGAGAAATGGAAAAGGGGGAAGGAGGTAGAAAAAAAAATACTAGAAAAGAGACAGAAAATCACTCAATAGAAGATATGATCTATAGCAGGTAGTAGAACATGCTGTTTGCTGTAAGGTCACTGCCTTATATTCTACATGCTGCAGAATTTAAGGGCTGGACTGAATGATACCAAGAAAAGATTGCTGTCTTTTGTGCCCCAAAGACACAGGTTATAGCTCTGTGTCTGCCACAGATTGCTTGTTCCAAGTTCCTAGTTTCGCCACTAAAACAATCCTTTTCTCAACTTCTAAATAGCTCAATAGCTGCAGTCTCTCTTTTCCTGAGTGCAGTTTTTGAGGCTGTGAGGAGCAGAAATATTTAAGTGGTCGATTCATCTGCAGATATGAGTGGAAGCCAATATTTGCAGATATCAGTGGAACACATGATGTGATTATTATTCTTGACAAGATGCAAACTATTCTAAAACTCAGTTTCTTGTTGTCTTATCTTGAGCATTTAAAATTAACAGCTACTTTTTTTGCTCTTGATCACTTTATGTCTTAATTTCTTAATTGTGGAGCAGGGAGAAACATACTTTTCATTCAGTAGGAATTTTGTGAACATATAAATCCATTAATATTGTAAAGTATTCATATACTTTAGTGAAGCACCAATAAAAAAACCCATGAGGAAAGTATCTTCTGAACAGGATTTAAATGGCTTGGGGCCATGCATTCAATGAGGAGAAAGCAAAATATTTAATACTGGCTCATTAAGTGAACGCTGCCCACTCCATGCATGGATGAAGCAAATGGTAGGATAGTGAAAAATTGCCATCATCATGCAATTAGAAGCCTTACTACAATCCATATATACAAGGAGACAAAATTGAAGAGGCAAATTTCATTTGGGCATTGCCTAGGTATTTGGCTCTGGACCTTATAGCTTTGATAATGCCCCTTAAATGTAGGTGCTTTATATGTGAAATGTAATTATGAGTGGCTGTTGAATGCTTTGGGCACTGAGCCTATAAATTACAAATCACAAAGAGAAGAGCCTCTATAAATATATCCACCTAAACTCTCTCTCTCTGAGTAGATAAAGATTATCACAAATGCTAGTTGGGATGTGGCTGATCACTGAAACCATGAGGAACATGCACAAGTACTTTCTCCTCCACCTCACATGTAATGGGAAAGAGAATTTCTGCTTGAAAGCCCATCCTTACCCACAATGTTGGCCTATTAACATTAGCTTCCATGTGGGACCCTCTAAGAGCCTAGGAGCCTAAACCCTAAAGGTTTCTTGCTGTTGAGACATTATCTAGCATGAGTCTTTATCTCAGGGCTTTTGTGAAGCATCACACTTCAAATAACTAACAATGAGCTATATTCTCCCATTGGGACTGGAGAGCATGACTGATAGTGACTAAGAGCATATTCTGCAACCTACTAACTGTGATTTTTTATTTTAAAAGTTTTTTAGAGTTTCAAATGAGACTTGTCAATCAGTAGCTTTCAGATGCCTAAGATCTGACTAAGGTGTTAGGTATGATAGCATATAATTAGTATGAGTTAACAAAAGCTGTCATGCTCTATTTTTCAATTTGCAGTATTATGTAGCTTACTAAACAAGTAAATCTGTGCTGCTGGAGATAGAGGTTATTTCTGGTCTAACTTATTTATTTTTTGTTTTTAAATAGATTTCTTTCAAGTTTTTGCTCATTTCTAACCTAGCATTTGAAATTGAAGTAAAAGCAAAGGGCAGGAGTTGAAATTGATTTAATGGGGTCAACTATTTAGATTAAGCTAAAGTAAACAGTGCAAGTAGGCTGTAAACCATTCCTCCCTTCTAATAGGGAAGTACAGTAATGAAGATAAAAGAGAATGGAAAATTTCTGCTATGGAAAATTTTGTGTACTGCATCTTCAAATTTACACTTAAGGAAGATTTCTCTATACAGGAAGTCAGCATTGTAAAAGTCATCTCATAAAACAACCATGCAAAAGATTTGTCTTTTAAAACTGGCATGATCTAGCTGTAGTTAAAGTCAGTGAAAGGACACCCATGCATTTCAGGGCTAGCTGGATCACAGCACAGAAATACATCTGAAAAAAAATCCCAACACCAAACTACATACACATTTAGAGTAAACAGAGAATAAGAGTAAGCTTTTCTATATAATTGTTTATAACTCATTTTTACCTTTTGGGTCAAAATATTGGGATCTGGCTTGTATTCATTTTGACTGCAGGTAGGTGGATGCTAGAAAATGTTTCTTGGAGTAATCATTATGTATTACTTTGACAACCGTCATTATCTACCCTTTGTGTATATTACCAAAACAAGTTTTCAAGAATGACTGGAAATTTTAAGTAAACATTGAAAATATGTCAGAGTAGGCTAATAAGTATTAAAACATTTTGCAATAAAAACCTAAGATCAATTCCAGAACTGAAAAGTATAGCTGATCACATTCTGGTATCTACAGAGTGACACAATGTTTATGCCTGCCATGAATATAACTGTACACACTCTTTTCCTAATCCACAGCAGTCTTTATTTCAAGAATGACTCGCCATGCATTTTTTAGTAAAGCTGTCAATATATGCCCAATGTGACTCTTGGGTCCATCACAGATAACACACCAGTATTTCTAGTTTCAGCTGCTCTCCACAAACCAGCTCAGTCTCTGGGACACATTTTTAGGAGATAGTTTTTCAGGAAAATTAGGAAGTATCCTCTTGAAGGTCTTGGAGCAATGGAATGACATTATAATACACATTAAGGGACCTGGTTACTCTGCAAATGGATTTGACACCAGTGTTGAAAAGCTCAATTTAAGGAGCCACTGTAACAGCATGTGGAAGGGAAATAAGTAATTTTTTAAAATTCTTTTATTCTATTTTCAATGTTCCTCATAGGCTTACACTCCAACTGGCACATTGCAGCAATGTCTCGTCTGGTATTTGTTAGAAAGGTAAAAAGTTGCTTATGAAGAGAAAAATACCTTAAAACTATAAATGCTGTAATGCACATCATGTGACATGTTAGAATTGATTCTATATAATCTCCCATTTGATTGTCTTAAAATACCATATATTACCGAAGTGCAACACAAGTATGTTTTTGGGAGAAGAGAAAATAAAATATGTAAATTTTTATATTACAAGTTCAGAGG